AAAACATAAGATATATTAAATTATAAAATTGGCTCGCAATATTAACAATAAGTATAAAAATAGAAAAATATATAACAAGGTCTTTTTCGAACTTTTAATGGATCTTAAAAATTTATTTAGAAACAAAATGCAAATAAAACGCAAATAAAATTCAANTAAAATTGAACATTTAACAAATGACAAACGTTTCGGCCCTATTTGAGCTCTCTTCAGTGTTCAAAGATAAATATAAATATAAATAGAAGTAATCACGTCATATCACAAAAGTTCGCAAGAAGATGGAAATTGAAAAGAAAAGATGATAGATCTTACATTAGAAGTCCATGGTAGGTTGTATAATGTTTGACTTCCTGAAAACGTCGTGTAGTAAATAGTCGCACACAATATACAAGTTAAAGTTAAAACGTTTTGAAACTTACATATCCAAAGTCAAGATCAAACGATGAACAGAGAATAAAAGCAACAACTTATATAACAGACTTTTTACCAACTAACAGTAAAGTCAATGTAAAACGGTTACGTTAAATTTAAATGTTGGAAGATTTTATTGAGTCAAGTAAGTTAAAATAAGAATGGTCAAGTAAATTCGTGTTGTTAATTAGGTTTAAACCAAGTGTCTGTTCCTTAATATGTATAGTCTCAGAAATTAGTCTTTTAAAAAAATTACGTTNATAGTCTAAAATTTGAGTATTGTCCCAATCAAAAATATGATTAAAATCAAGTCTATGTTTTGAAATTACAGACAGCTGTGAGNAGGTTTTATTAATGTCATTTTTGTGTTCTTTTAATCGTGTTTTTAGTTGCTTTTTGGTCTGTCCAACGTAAGATGCACAACAATTCATACAAGAAATTTTATAAATAATGTGTTTTGAGTCATGTTTTGTAGAGTCTTTGTGTACTTTGATAATTACATTTAGTCTGTTAAGACATTTGTAGCCTATGATAACCTTCTCTTTGTTAAAAACAACTGATACATTCAAACTGATACATTCTGAGATATTATTAATATACGGTAAAACAATCAAGTTCCTGTCAACTGGAGTGAGAGAGCTTGTATTAAAAGAGTTGTTGAGTTTCTTANAAATGAATTTTTTAATTCTAGTATTAATGTTGTTAAAAATGAAATCAAGAAGATAACCATTGTTAAGTAAAACTTCAATAATAAAAGTAATATTTTTAATATGAAAGTCTGGATGTGACAACAAGATAGCTCTATCAATTAAACTAAAAACAGTGCCTTTTTTGTGGCATAAAGGATGGTAAGAGAAAAATGACAAAAATCTTCCAGAGAAAGTNTTTTTGTGAAACCAATCTATTTTTAATTTTCGGTCCACAATATGGATAGTTAAATCTAAAAANTTTATGCAATGATTATCCTCCAATTCGACTGTAAATTTTATTCTGTCATGGTATGTATTAAACAGCGATACAATCTTATTAATACTATGAGATGGAGCTGCTAAAACGATGTCATCTACATAACGAAAATAGAATGGAATT